GTGGTCGGCAAACCAGCGGCTTGCGAGCCACATGCGGCTCTTTAACCCTTGAGTGTGGCTCTTCCACAAAATACCCACGTGCGGGCGCACACGTACAGTGCAATTAAAACTTTGTGGCCCATGCGCAGAAGTCGGTATTTTGTGGAAGGGCCGGTATTTTGTGGAAGAGCCACACTCAAGGGGCCAAAGAGCCGCATGTGGCTCGCGAGCCGCGGTTTGCCAAGCCGCAGTTTGCCGACCACTGCCCTAGACAATAAGCCACCCACAGGCTCGTAGCACAGGGGCAGTGGCAGATGCAAATGCCTAAGGAAATATGAAAAGCCGGCAATAATTCCTCTGCAGGAGGAGCAGAGGGGAGTGGGAAGGTTTCCCAGAGGAGGCTGAGGTAAGACGTGCACAGTAGTGAAAATCCTAGTGGGGGGCAGTGGGGACCAGGCATTCTGGACCAGGGAACAATGCTGGAGAGCCCGTGCTCAGAGCCTTGCTGGTCCTCCTGTAAACCCAACTCTAGGGTCTGGCTCCGTGCACTCCCTTCCACTCAGTGAATTCAATGAGCACCGAGTCTGGGCTGAGTCACACTGGAGAGAATGTGGAGGCCAGGACAGACCGGGCCCCTCACAAGGATGGGGCAGGAGGGATACAGACCCAATACCAGACAGGGAGGACCCAGAGTGGCTCAGGTGGGACGGGGGCCTCCAAGAGGCTCCTGAGCCTGTGGAGGAAAGGGGAGCAAGGGTGAGTCAGGGAAGACTTCCTGGAGGAAGAGGTGTGTCTAAGGTGAGTCTAAAGAAGGAAGGAGTCTGATGAAAGGCTGGGTGAATAAAAGGCCATCTCCAGTCCCCGACCCGCACTTCACAGGTATTTGCTCCAGACCCCCCTGTGGCACATGGTTGCTTACAAGCCTGCCGATGCCCACAAGCTCCTCCACGTCAGCGACGATGTCCCACCCCCCGGCTGCCAGCACAGAGCTGGTCCACAAAGGCCCACACTGATGTTTACTGGACAGATGAGATTATGCCATGCCTAAGGTCAGCGCTGTCATGAGGGTGAAATGTGGTGGGAGCCATATCTCGAGGTCCAGCTGAGGGGATCTGGACTCTACCCTGTGGTCAGAGTCCCTGAAACTGAATCCTGACATCAACAGCAGACTGGACACGCGCATCCTCTGAAGCCCCCACGAAGCACTCCAACCTGGCTCTAGGCTGAACCCTGGGCCCAGCTGCACTCATTCAGGGAGCTGGAGAGAGAACGGTGAAAAGGCCCAGAGTGGAGCTCACAATCTACTGTGGGAGACAGAGAACCAGTCACACCAAAAAAATATCTGAGTATGACTGATCAGAGAGCCCGAAGGAGAGAGCGCTGCCAGAGGGCACCATGGGCTGGCCTGGTCTGGAGTTCAGGAAAGGTCTCTCAGGAACCCCTGAGCTGGAGTGGAGGATGGAGAGAACAGGGTGCAGGCGGGGCAGAGGCGGTCCTCACAGTAGAGACCTGGCTCCTCTGAAGGTGACTGAGGCAAGGCGACAGGGACCTGGGATGTGGTGAGGCCACACAGCCCACAGAGGGAGCCCTGAGAGCATCCACGGGGGCACCCTGTTCCTGGTACACAAAGCAGGGGGATCCCCTGGGAGGAGGAGGAGCGCTTCCTTTGGCTCCCACACGCACCTTCACGCGCTGCTTCTTGTGCTGCACACTGTCCAGTTCGTCGTCCTCGTCGCTGTCTTCGTCCTCACAGTTCTGCAGGAAGGGGATCTGCTCCAGCACCGAGCCACTCAAGCGCTCTTTGCCATCTTTGCCTGCTGCATTCCTGCCCACAACAGGGGGTAAAGGGGGCATGAGTCCTGCCATGTGACAAAGCTCAGATGCCAGGGTGAGGCTTGGTGGCCAGAGCCTGGGCCCAGCTCTCAGGGGGCTGACCCACCACGACCCAGAGGAGCCTTGACTGTGATCATACCCAGGGCTTCAACCCAGTGTCTGCCTAACAGATGCTCACCCGACTCAAACCCCCTTGTGGACCACAGACTGGGCCAACTCCTCACTGAGCTCGACTCTGAGTTCCAGGGGACTAGCCCCCAACCCTGACCACAGGTCTCCCCACGTGTGCTGAGTCAGGAGAGCTGGATGAGAAAATGCCACTGACTCAGCAGCCGCTGTTCCCATGGCCCGGTTAAACCACAAGCACAGGCTAGGTGAGCGACAGAGACGTACCCTGGAGGAATGGGAAACTGGTCACCACCAATGCTCGGGCCCTACAGCCAGGGGGCCATGGCCAAGCCTGCAGGGGTGGGGAACCTTTTTTCTGCCAAGGGCCATTTATAACACCATTTGCGAGCCATATAAAATTATCAACTTAAAAATTAGCCTGCTATATTTGGTCAAACATTTAATTAACTCACCCCTAATGCCTTGGCAGGGCCAGACCAAATGATTTCACGGGCCTCATATGGCCCTCGGGGAGGACTTTCCCATCCCTGCTCCTGAGAGTTGGTCAGTGTAGGGTTCTGGCCCGGTAGAGAGCGCTTTCCTCCAGGCAGCCAAATCCGTCACTCGCTTCCTGGCCCCCCGCCCCCCATGTATATCCTCCCAGCAGAACATCTCTGTGCTCAGCTGCTGGGCCACCATTCCCGGTTCCTCCCACAGCTGCCGAAGCTCAGCCTCCTTTGCTGCTGCCTCCCTCAGCTTCTTTCTCTGGCCTCTAGACACAAGGGCCCCGGGGCTGTCCTCAGACCTCCTGTTCGTGCTGCCAGCTACACTCTCTCCTTCAGAGACCGCAAAAACCACTGTGTGCTGGTGAACAGAGGTCAATTTAGGAATCAAGCGCCCAGCCCCAGCTCCAGGCTGGCTACTCACGACCTACCCTGGGTCACCAGGCCCCCCGAACCCCACCCATCCTCAACAGCCCCCTTGGTGTGCCGCTCTTCGCCTTCCCCATCTCCGTCAGTGCTGCTCCCAGCTGCTCAGACCAACCCTGGAGGCAGCTCTAGTTTCGTCCCTCTCCCTCACATCCCATCCTTTAAATTGTGCTGACTTACCCTAAAAACCCATTGAGAAGCTAACCACTTCTCTCCCTTCCACCTAACGTCTGCCATCTCTGCCTGGGCGCTGCAGTTGTCCCCCAACTGGTCTCCCTGCCCACACTCCTGAAGCAGACGGCGGGGATCAGATCACATCACACCCCTGCTGGAAACCACGGGCTTCCCACAACCTAGAAGAGAATCCAAACTCCTTATCTCAACCAGCGAGGCCGTTTGATCTGACTCCTGAGATTTCGGCCTCACCACAGACCACAGGCCCCACCGCCGCCTCGCTGGCCTGCTGCTGCTTCCGGAACATGCCAAGTCTCCTCCGCCTCAGAACCTTTCCACGTGCTGTTCCCGCTGCCCAGAACATTCATTCCCGCTCCAACTACTTATGTGGCTCATCCTCCATTTCCTGTACTTCCTGCCCAAACATCGCCTCCACCAAGAGGTCCTACTACCTACCTTACCCAAAGCGGTACTATTCTTCCCATCACTCCCTTCACTTTCTTACTACCTTTCCTTTTCTTCACAGCACCGAGCATCGCATTACTGATTCTGACAAATAACAATTATGGCTGAGAGAATGAACAAATAAGAGCTCCTCAAAGGGGGTGTCTGTGTGCTTTGTTCCCCACCAGGCCCTGGCATGTGGCCTGGGGTCCGCCTTCAGCGGGTGCTCGATGTTTGCTGAGGGGCGTACGGCCCTGAGCCTCAGGAGAGGGGCCAGGTGGAGATGAGCCGTGGTGTGCCATCAGCACTGAGGCAAGGCCGTGGGAGAGTATGTACAGGGGACCCCGTACAAAATCAGGGCTCCCACAATGAACAGATAGAGGGTTCTGGAACAAGCGAGCCCACAATGTGTTTAAGAAGGAAGTGGCCAGCAGGGTCCCTGGGGCCCGGCTCACTTTTCCGACACTGGCTTCCGCAGGAGGGAGGAGGCACAGAGGGACGGACCCGTCAGACCCAAGGGCTCACCTCTTGATCTGTTCCTCGATCTGTTTCACCAGCAGTGACTCCCCACCGCTGAGCCCCCCGGGGCCTGGTGTGGCCCTGGGGCCCCCTTCACTGGGCTCCACGGTCCCGTTGATCTCCAAGGAGCGTCCCAGGAGGGATCGCACACGCTTGGACCGCATGTCCAGGATGGTGTCCGTGTAGCCCACCTCTTCCAGGTACCTGCATGGAAGCAGAGCCAGGAGGGTCAAGTGCCTGAGCCCTCTCTATATACGGGGGCTTATGGAAAGGACAGCACACTGGGACTGCCTTTTTGGAGGGCGACTTAAGAACACACACCAAAAATTCAATAAGCAGCCCCGACCCCGCTGTTTCACTTCCAATAGTGGTGGCTTTACACACCAGTCTGTGGCACGGATGCTCACCGCGATGCTGTGCAGGAGACCCAAACACGGGGGCCGACCTACACGTCTACTGACGAGGACTGTGGAAGCAAATTACCCGTGGGGACACGAGGCAGAAACTAAAAGAGGAAGAGCGCCACGGGAAGCTGGCCACGATAAATGGCTTAACAAAAATTGTAAGTTACATGTTCCATACAATTCAAGTGTTTGTTTTAAAAAAAAGTGCTAATGATTAAAATAATAATAATAAAGTTGAAAAGCCCTGGCCTGTGTGGTTCAGTGGTTAGAGTGTTGGCCTGCACACCAAAGGGTTGTGGGTTTGATTCCTGGTCAAGGGCATGTCCCTGGGTTTGCAGGTTTGATCCCCATCCAGGTCAGGACCCTGCAGAGGCAACCAATCAATGTGTCTCTCTCATGTCAATGTTTCTCTCTCTCCCTCCCTCCCTTTTTCCCTCCAAATCTCTAAATCGATGGAAATATCCTCACGTAAAGATTAAAAATAAAATAAAGTGTTAATGAGTTTGTAAGTATAGCACACACACACACACACACACGTAGCATGCCCCCACAAGGCCAAGAAAGACACACACTAAACTTAAGAGTCGTCAGTGACCTCTGAAGAAGGGGACTAGGGCAGTGATGGCGAACCTTTTGAGCTCGGCGTGTCAGCATTTTGAAAAACCCTAACTTAACTCTGGTGCCGTGTCACATATAGAAATTTTTTGATATTTGCAACCATAGTAAAACAAAGACTTAAATGAGTTCGCGTGTCACCTCTGACACGCGTGTCATAGGTTCGCCATCACTGGACTAGGAACATAGAGGAATTTTGGAACTTACTCTATTTACTCTACAAATGAGCACGTGTTACTTCGGCACCTTATTTATTTATTTAATCCTCACCCAAAGTATGTTTATTGACGAGAGGGGGGGGGGGGGGGGGAGAAAGAGAGACACACATTAATAACATTGATTGGTTGCCTCCCATATGAGCCCCAACTGGGGATCGAACCAGCAACCTCTTGGTGCACAGGACGACACTCTAAGCAACTGAGCCATCTGCCAGGGCTAATCCCACAATTAAAAAAATTGAAGCCAACTGGGACTGTCTGAAAGCGGGGGAGAGGGGGTGGCTTCAGAAGATGTGAGGTGAGTCCCTGCTGGTCCTCAGGAGGCTCCCTGAAAGCCTTTTGTTTACCATGACCCTGTCCCTTTGGGACCCTGCCCCTCGCACATTAGACAGGACTCGCCTTCCCTGTTGTCTCATCCTGTGCGCCTGCGTGCATGAGGCTTCCCCTCCCACCACGGGAGGAGGGAAGCATGGGGTGAAGAAGTTGGGCTCTGGGCGCAGACTGACCGAGATCACCCCTCGGACCCTCTGCTTCTGTTAGCTGTGTGACTTTACGCAAGCAGGTCCCTCTCTGCACCTTGGGTTTTCGTCTGTGAAAATGAGGGGAATGGGCAGGTATGCCCACGGGGACTCATGTGAGGGAGCGCGGTGTGCCAGATGTTTAGCACAGTGCCAGGCGTATACTAGGTAGTTGGCAAGTGTTGCCTGTTGCAATCATGTTGTTGTTATTGTTTGCAATAACACTTAAGTTAGCAATTTCACTACCAGATATTAACTTAAGGAAATCGAAGACATAGACAAATAACTTCCTGACGTTTGTTACACTATCTATAAAAACATCTTCAATAAAATACACAAGAAGGGATTGGCTATGGCAAGTTATGGTTACTCATGCCACAGACTGTTAGACAGTTCTTCAACCCATGCAACCTAACTAATTTATATGAAAAGACGTTCACAACACTGAGCAAAAGCAACGCATGAGAAAACATGGTGAAGGGGAAGCCCGTTTATAAAACACATACACAAACACAAATGCACAGCCATGAAGAGACTGACAGTATATATGCCAAAGTGTTTATGGGGTATGAAGTTCCTTGGGTGGTGGAATTATGAGTGATTTCTATTTTTTGTGTTTCCCTATATTTCCCAAATTTTCTGAAAAACACAAATCTCTTTAGTAATAAAAAATAATTTAACATTTCCCCTAAAAAAAGAAAAGCAACAGGCATTTGGGGTTGCATTCCAAGAGTGGAGGTCTTCCCCGCCTGCCTCCTGCATCGAATCTTCCCGCCCTCTCCCCAGGCGGCTCCACCTACATGGTGACAGGCCATCTCAGCTGTGTCCCCAGTGGGGACAGGCAGGGCTGTGGAGTCTTCAGGCTTATCTCCCAAGCCAGGCATGGCCTTCGTCCCCCTGCCCCGCCCCCACACCCGTCCCCCTGCACACTCACTGTCGAAGAAGTTGCCGCCCCTCCTTCCACACCAGTGGGCTGTTCTCCAGGGTGACCGACTCCACAGGGCCATTGGAGACTGGGGGATGGAGAGAAAGGAGACAGACTGTCTTAGTCAGGGTACCACCACATACCCATCACCCCCACCCCCACCTTCCTCACCCTCCAACCCAAATTGGTCACTGTCATGGGTTCTGCAGAGTCACTTTCTGAGTGTCTGAAACCTACTCTTCCCTCCATGCTCCTTATCTCGTCCCCTACTGGTCATTCCCCAAACCACCCCCAGACTATCTTCAGACTCAGCTCTAGTTACGCTATTTTCCCACACAGGAAGCTGGCCCAATTCTGAGAGAACGGGCAGACTCAACTGGGTCCAAGTCCAGCTCTGCCACTTCCCAGGTGTGACCTTGAGCTGGTTAGTTTACCTATATGAGCCTCCGTTTCCTCTTCTGAGAAATAAAGCTAATGACAGCAGTACCTACGCCTTTTGGGATTGTTGTGTGGATTAAAGGAGATCATCTGTTCATTTTATTCATCAAATATTGATGGGGCCTGTGTGTCTGTCTCTACTTCACACAGGGACAGCAGGCAGGACCGGGCTTCTTCACCACTACCCACCCTGCCTCTCCCCAGGGGTCCAGCCCCCGTGCCCCGTGCCCTGTGCCTGACAGAGCAGCCTGTGGGGAGGGGCCCTGGGAGCGAGTCAATCCCTCCCCAGCCCCCGCCAATGCTGCTTCCTATGGAGCAAAGGAAGAGGCGGTTCGGTTTGGGGAGGGGGGTCAAGTAGGGAGGTTCGGGGGGGGGTACCTTGTTCTGACAGTTCTGGCTTCTTCTCTCCCTGGTTCGGGTCTGTCCCAAACTTCAGTTTGTGATATTTAGCCCTAAAGGAGCAAAGGAGTAACAAATGAGACAGAAGAGTAGACATGACAGCACTCACCTCAGGCATCCCAAATCCCAGGCCCCCCAATCCACTCTCCTACCTCTGAGGCTGAGCTCCCCAACCTGCCCACAGTATAAAGCAGCCCTGGTGGCGGGGCGCCACACATGGCTGTGAAGAACCCTCTCTCCAGAGCCTGGCAGGCTGGGCTGCTATCCCAGCCCCAGGAGTCCTGAAAGAAGTCCTCCTCTCCAGAAGCCACTGTACCCATCAGGCCAGTGGAAGAGAGGAGACATTATGAACAGATGGTGTCTGGCACACAGTGGCCACCATCATTATGAACACCGTCACGGGTGTCTAACCGGAATCCACCTGCTATGTCTCGTTCTGTCCCCTCTCCTAGAACCGCAGAGTACTGGTGACGGGAGAACGCCCGATCCCAACTCTCCCTCGGTGGAAGGCTGCAGCCGGCCTCACCCTCTGCTGGGGACTGACTTCTCAGGGGCAGGGCGGGCAGCAGGCTCACCTCTCCTGCTTCAGCGCATATTCTAACATCTTGATCCGCCGCACCAGGTCCGTCTTGAGATTCTCTTGCCCTTTCCTTTCTCCCTGGAGGAAAGCCACCTGAGCCTGGGGACACAGGGCAACAGGAAGATGGCAGGGCTTAGGCTCACTGGTGTGTGTCCCTCCCTCAGGGCAACTAGCACCAGCTCCTACCCCTACAATGACAGCAGCAGCCACTTCCTCAGGCGTGAAGACCCTGAGCCAGGGTTAAATGGCGTGTGAGAGGGCAAGCGAGATCTGCCGCCAGGGTACCTGCCACATCGCCCACAATGAAAGAGCTGAAGAGGAGTCCTTAACCCCTGAAATCAAAGCGGGGCCAGCTGGGGCGTAACCTCTCCCTGCCTTTTGGGGAGAAGTCGGCTTGGGGATGAAGGAGGGGAGGTAGGCGTTAATAGCCCTGGGTCCTCCTCCTCCCCCGCCCAAAGGCAGGTGCTGTCCCTAAGACTGCTGGTGGAGGCGTCTCACTATTCCTACCAGAGCATCTATCTCTGGGAGGCGTAGGAAGCTACTTCTGGAGTTTAGGGACAAGAGTGGGTGGCTTGGCTCAGCTCCTGCTCCAATGCAAAGCTTTACCACTGTGGGGACCAATCGTGCCACTGGAGTCTGCCCAGAATGAGGGAGACGTGCCACAGACATGACCCAGGGCCCCTGCCAACCACTTCACACCGTCTGCTGGCACCGGCTGCCCCAGTCTGCTCTGGTCTGTCAACAGGTCATCTGGAGACACTCGGCCAACGACCTGCGAGGCAGGATCCTGGCCCCTGGCCACGTTCCGGAGGCCCTGGCCAAAGCCCTGAGTGCAGGACTGGTCCCTGGCTTCTCCCCAAGGGCGCCACTGTTCTGGGCTGGGGCAGCCTCAGCTCCAGGCCCACTCGCCCACCACCTGCGGCATGATCTCAGGTAGGTCAGGGGCTTTCTCTGAGCCTCCATTTCCCCTGCTATAAAACGGGGCTTATGAGAGTGCCTGCCCCTCGTGTTAAGTTCGTCTCAGTCCAAGACCTAGCACAGAAGACGGGCCAATACATGGCAACTCCTGCCTCTTATTTTTATTCTTCCTGTCCATCCTTCCACAAGTTGACATGGGCCCCATCCTTTGTGGGAGCTATGGTCCCTCTGAGACCCTAGACCAGGGGTGGGCAAACTTTTTGACTCGAGGGCCACAATGGGTTCTTAAACTGGACCGGAGGGCCGGAACAAAAGCATGGATGGAGTGTTTGTGTGAACTAATATAAATTCAAAGTAAACATCATTACATAAAAGGGTACGGTCTTTTTTTTTTTTTTTAGTTTTATTCATTGCGGGCCGTAGTTTGCCCACGGCTGTCCTAGACCCATCAGCAGGGATGTCTGTGGCTTACAGGCCTCCTGCCACCATGCACAGCACAGCTGAGTCTACTGCAGCCAATCCCTGCACATCATGTGCTTGCTGAAAAGAACTTCAGTGCCCCCACCAGAAGCCGCAGTCTGGCCCCAGACACCTTTTCCAGGCCGAGCCCATTCTCAAAGCCTCGCTCCAGGACTGCCAGTTCCCGGCAGCCTCTCAGGTGCCACCTGCACTGCTCTCCCTCTCCCTGGGGCTTGCAGGGCCCTGGCCTCTCTGGCCTGTGCATGTGGAGTGCAGCACAGCCCTGCTGTCACCTCTGTCCTGCTCCAGGGACAGGTCTCACCTCAGCTTAGCAGAGACTGAACACATGCTGAGTACAGCCTGGCACTGACTGGGGCCGGGGAAACAGGCACACTCATACACCTTCGCTGGGGTCATAAACTGATGCACTCTTGCTGGAGGGCAATCTGGCCAGATCTATAAAAATTTTAAACGCACATTCCTTTTGTCCTAGCGGTTCCACTTCTAGGAATTATGGAAACTTATTGTACTTGTAGGAATTTATCCTTCAGGCATAATGGCAATGGTAGGTTCCTTTTGAAAAGATAAAACGGGATACTCATGCATTAATATATGACAAAAGTATCATTCATTCATTCACCTACCCCCAAATATTTACTTTATTTTAAAAATATTTTATTGATTTTTTTTTTTTAGAGGCAGGGAGAGAGAAGAAAACATCGATGTGAACGGAATATTGATTGGCTGACCTCTACTGGGGATCAAGCCCACAATCTGGGCATGTTCTCTGACAGGGAACTGAGTTGGCAACCTTCGGTGCCCGAGACAATGTCCAACCAACAGAGCCACACCAGGCAGTGCTACTCCCCAAATATTAATTGAGCCCCAACTATGTATCAGGTACAGTTGTAGACAGAAGATACAGTGCTGAACAAGGCGTGGCTGACATTCTGGAGGGGTTGTGGGGCAAACAATGAACGAATAAATATACGTCACCAGGTGTGCCATGGAAAAGAAGCCTCATCTGTCCCTTGTGAACAAGGACGGAACTTCTTCCCCCTCCTTCACACCTTTTTCTCTCTACCGTTTAAATCAACACATACATATTCACAGTGATCAACATCTTGTAAGTTTGAATTTCCATCCTTTTTAAATATATATATATATATATATATATATATATATTTAAATATATTTTATTGATTTTTTACAGAGAAGAAGGAAGAGGGACAGAGAGTTAGAAACATCGATGAGAGAGATCGATCAGCTGCCTCCTGCACGCCCCCTACTGGGGATGTGCCCGCAACCAAGGTACATGCCCTTGACCGGAATCGAACCTGGGACCCTTGAGTCCGCAGGCCGACGCTCTATCCACTGAGCCAAACCGGTTCGGCAAAATATATATTTTTTTATTGATTTCAGAGAGGAAGGGAAAGGGAGAGATGGAAACATCAATGCTGAGAGAGAATCATTGATCAGCTGCCTCCTTCACGCCCCCCACTAGGGACCAAGCCCACAATCTGGGCTTGTGCCCCCGACCGGAATCGAACCCAAGACCCTTCAGTCCGCAGGTCAACGCTCTATCCACTGAGCCAAACTGGCCAGGGCTGAATTTCCATCCTTTATGGATCTTCTCAGTCCCCCAAGTCTACCTGTCCACGAGTCGTTTTAGGTGGGGGAAGAGGTGAAGAAAAGGCTGATCACCAAACACAGCCCCGAGGTACTTGCTCACTATCCTTCCTGCTCTCCTGGGCTTCCACTAGAGAGCATTCCGCTCCCCAGCGCCAGCACAGCCTGCTGAGAGCCTACATTCACCCAACATCCAACACCAGCAACTGCCTGTAACAAGCCAGGGACTGTGTGAGCACTGGAGGAACAAGGAGAAGACGAGGGGTTCCTGTCCCCACAGAGTTCTCCGTCCAGTGCAGAAGACAGGCAAAAGCAGCGACAGCCAACACTCCTGTGATGAGGGCCACCAAGAGGGAGCAAAGGATGTTATGGGGAAACGGACACCCAATCCAGCTCTGGAGTTGCGAAGCAGTGACACCTCGGCCAAGACCTGAAGGCTCATCCGAAGTTAGCCAGGGCAGTGGGGTGTGCTGCTGGCAGAGGACAGACAAAAGGTGCGTGGTGACTTCAGGAACTCTAAAAGGGCCAGTTTGTGGACCCCTATGTTCATTGCAGCATCTATAATAATAAAAGCGTAATATGCTAATTAGACCAGATGGCGGCGCTGTGGGGGCCGAGCCCCTCGAACAAATTTCGTGCATCGGGCCTCTAGTTATTTACAATAACGAAGATTTGGAAGCAGCCCAAGTGTCCATCAGTAGATGAGTGGATAAAGAAGCTGTGGTACATTTACACAATGGGATACTACGCAGCCACGAAAAAGGAAATCTTAACTTTTGCAACAGTATGGATGGACCTGGGGAGCATTATGCCAAGTGAAATAAGCCAGTCAGAGAAAGACAACTACCGTATGATTTCACTTATTGTGGAATCTAATGAAAAAAATAAACTAACAAACAAAATAGAAACAGACTCACAGATAGAGATCAGACTGACAGCTGTCAGAGGGGAGAGGGGTTGCAGTGCTGGTTGAAAAAAGTGAAGAGATTAAGCAAAGAAAAAAACACACTCATAAATACAGACAACAGTATGGTGATTACCAGAGAGAAAGGGAGATAGGGGGAGGTAGAAGACACTAAAGGGAGGATAAATGGTGATGGAAGGAGACTTGACTTGTAGTGGTGAACACACAATACAAAATACGAATGATGTAGTATAGACTTATATACCTGAAACCTATATAATTGTATTACCCAATGCCATCCCAATAAATTCAATAAAACATTTTTTTAAAGGAGCATATAGAAGAAATCATAAAGA